AAAGAAATGAAGATAGGTTTATGAGTTCAACTTAAAAAGCGGTATCCACCTACCTATACTAAATCCTTGTTGTAAATCTTGATGAAACCGGCACATAGTATGACAGCTGTCAAGCTAAAAACTCGTGTATCGTGTATCTCTGAAATTATGCGTGCTAGACTATCAGTGTTTGAGAGAAAGTCATAGGCCTTAATGAGATCTACATATCAGGTGACAGCTGTCAAACAAAAACCTCGTTTATCTTAGAAACTACGCATGATAGACTATCAGTTTGTTTGAGAAAGTTGTGGTCCTTCATGAGGCCTACATTTATGATGACAGCTGTCAAACTAAAAACTCGCATATCTCTGAAACTAAAAATCTTAGACAATATGTTTCTTTGAGAAAGTGGTAGGCCTTGACGAGATCTATCAAACGACAGCTGTCAAACTAAAAACACGTACAACTTGGAAAGTTGACAGCTGTCATCATAAATTTAGGTCTCATCAAGGTCCACAACTTTCTTAACAAAACGGATACCTAGTGTAGCATGCAAACTTTCCAAAATATACGTGTTTTTAGTTTGACAGCTGTCGTTTGATAGATCTCGTCAAGGCCTACCACTTTCTCAAAGAAACATATTGTCTAAGATTTTTAGTTTCAGAGATATGCGAGTTTTTAGTTTGACAGCTGTCATCATAAATGTAGGCCTCATGAAGGACCACAACTTTCTCAAACAAACTGATAGTCTATCATGCGTAGTTTCTAAGATAAACGAGGTTTTTGTTTGACAGCTGTCACCTGATATGTAGATCTCATTAAGGCCTATGACTTTCTCTCAAACACTGATAGTCTAGCACGCATAATTTCAGAGATACACGATACACGAGTTTTTAGCTTGACAGCTGTCATACTATGTGCCGGTTTCATCAAGATTTACAACATCATCAAAGAATTTGACAGTCTAGCTTAAATACTTTTCAATGTAAAAGAGTTTTTACTTTGAACCAGTTTACAGTTTTAGGTTTTGACGAATCACGTATTTGACTAGTTTAGGTTTTGGTTACTGTCTACTGGAATTGACGAGTCTCAAATTTGACGAATCGCGTATTTGACTGTTTTAGGTTTTGGCAAGTGACGGCGCACGTATATCCCTTCCCGTCGTGTTGTGTTTGTGTTATATTTATAACATCTGCGAGCTTGTTAGTAGCAAAGTGCATTGATAATGAAATGGCAATTGCATTTAGAAATGTCAAGAGGCTAGAAATGGGTGTCAGATTTAATTTCTAGAATGATAATATCTATCTTCACTTGGAGGAAAGATTAATTTGTTTACTTGTACCCTTTCACTTCACCTATCTTTTAAATCTTCTTCGATACATTTTGTAACTATTGCGTATTATGAAAAATACTTCAATTATTGGTGTTTTCAATATGAAATCTGGTGGCAAAAAAATATTTACTGCTAAGGTTTATTATGTATTTTTTCTTCGAGTGGGACACCAAGTCGTCCAACATATTATGACAGATGGGCAGACAGCGAAGTCCCAAATAGGTAGGTTCCATTTTCACTCTTTGGGTGGGTAAAGATTATTCGCCTTAAGGGGGATCGTTACGTCATACAAACTAAAATCTGAACTTCAACCGAGTTACACATGAGCTAAACAACAATTTTATCAAAAAATCTTTATGTGAGATGAGGAAGGCACACGTAAATATGTCGCAAAACTGCTTAACGTAAAAAAATATCAAATATTTTCTCCACAAAAAAATTAAACGTGTTTATTGCAGCAGTAGCTCCATCTATGTTCATTAAGTGGCGACACGGTTTTTACAGAGAAATCTGATGGTTAAAAAATTATTTGTTTTATTTTGCGAAAATGTTATAAAAGCACGGGACTTCCCATCAAGTTTTTTAATCATAATTTTGTCTCATTTAAAGACGTAACTCCATTTAAATTTTGTATGGAAAACGATCCACCTTAAAAAGCAATAAAACAAAATAGTGGATTAATTATGTTTGTATGAAAAAGAAGAATCTGTAGGTATGTTAGATATCCCTCCACCAGTGCAGAACTCTGTGAGATCCAAAACCCCTATTTATCTTTTTGACTGTTTACGTTACGGAATACTTATTACATAAGATTTATTTATCCAAAATATGTTGATTTGTAATAAACTTCTTTTGTGGTGAGATGAGTCTTGGACTCTTGGTATTTACTTTTGAGTGTATTGGCAGGGCAAAAAATACCTTTCTAAAATGAACTACCAAGGGGTCACTTGAATTGTACTTAGAGCTACGCTCCCAGTTAAGAAACAATTTAATTTCATTTTCTTTTAACGATTAATACATTAATACCCTTGAGTTATTTGTAAAACCAATATCTGGTCACATAAAGGTAGGCGACTTAGCTCTATCTTTACACCGGGAGTAACGGAAATGGTATAACATGCCGAAAGGAGGTCAAGATACTCATGAAACTGAACAATTTTCCCCACGGAATATGGGTCGAAATATGAAATTAGCTGATCGACGATTTTGTATGGGTGGTCCAAATATGTTTTTCATACCTCGATGTTCCATGGGGAAAGTTGTTCAGTTTCATGAGTACTGTTAAAAATAATAGACCTTCTCTTCGTGAGCTTTGGTTTGCGACTGTCTCTTGATAAAGTCAGAATAGTCAGGTCAAGTCATTGTCAATACGTCATGTCTGTCTGTCAGTCCGCTGACCAGCCAGGATCCCCTAACCGGCCAGCGTCCATGTCCAAAAAGGTCGTAACATCCCCACCTCCAGTATTGGTCATGTCTGTCTGTCAGACCGCTTTTTTTTTTTTTTCGTGTGGGACACCGAGTCGTTCAACGACCCGATGAACCCTGGTGTCAGAGTTTTTCAACCGCCTACTACAAGTAGCAGGCCTCTGACATGGCTGTGTAACGACCGCCATCATAGACAGCAACCGGGACCGACGGCTTAACGTGCCCATCCGAAGCACGGAACCATCTTACTTGCGGACAATCAGGTGGTTCAGCCTGCAATGTCCTAACCAGACTGGGAACAAATTCACAAAGTGATAAATATCAACTTTGTGAGTGACCCCACCGGGAATTGAACCCGGAACCTTTGCGTGGCAGGCAGGCATGCTAACCACTGCGCCACATCGGTTGTCACTGCGCCACATCGGTTGTCACTGCGCCACATCGGTTGTCCCCTAACCGGCCAGCGTCCATGTCCAAAAAGGTCGTAACAAGTACCTTGACCTCCTTTCGGCTTGTTATACTCTTTCAGTTACTCCCTGTATACTCCTATTTAATGAATAACGAAAAACAACAACTATGGCTATACCAGATAGATAGAGCCGATATTATTATAGAAAAGGTTAGGTATTTAAGTTGAAGTAGAATTTGGTTATCAATTTTATTCCACAGTAAGCCGAAAGTTGTTTTCCATGCAGTGCAGTGTTGGGTTACTCTCGCCCGGTATAATATCGCTAAGCAGTACATACTCGTATTATACGCAGAGCAAGGATTTTTTCAGAAAGAGATGTTTACGAAATATCGGAATGATGCTATGAAAAGTTTATCAATAACTTGGTGCACGTTACAACACCTATAAACATACATAGTAATTGATAATTCTGTGTTGAATATAGAAAATCACTGGGACTAACACCTACCTATATGAGCAGTTTTTTGCTTTTTGGTTGTTCTATATGTTTTTTGTCTTGAACATTTTCATGGGCGTCTTGAAAGTCGAACCAAAAGGTACATTTTATTATTATTTTAGGTAGCCTAGCACTTTTATACGATACGCATGTAACGCCTTCTTAAAAGATCTTGACTAAATATAATTTAATTTACCTACTTGTCACTATGGCACAAAGTTACAATATGCTGTGTGGCTAGCCTGGCCGCCCCCTAGGTAGCTATAGTTAGTATTCTTTGCCCTAGGCTAGGCAATGCCGTTACCAATTATTATTCTTTTTCTCCTGCCCTAGCCACGTTCATACCAAGAACACAAAATTATGCCATTCAATTTTCTTTTTTTTTTACAATGACTTTACCATTAATGTTTACTGACTATCTATAAGCGGTACTTTTGTAATCCTCTAAAGTCTAATGAATAAAGATATTTGATTTGATTTGATCTGGCTGTGCTCGTGTCGAGTTTTTCGCGGTAGTAATTTAGGTTAACGTTGGGTTCTCTCTGAAAAAAATTCTGCCTCTAAATTCTTGCTCGGATTCTAGCGAAAACAAGCATATTTATACAATGGTCAGTTTCAATCAATATGGCGCGGGTCGGGTTGCTGGTTTTTAGTAAACTGCGCAAAATCTAGTCTAGGCTTGGGGGCCTTGGCTGCTTTATTCGACTTTCTGTTTAGTAAGCACAATGTGATAGTACAATTCTAAATAACTAGAAATACATAGAGTTTGAAGGTATCTGCTTACTGTGGGCCATTGATGGTCCGAAAACCGAGAACAGATTTATCCAAATCTCCAAATGTGATGACTATCTATTGGGATGGGTAATTGGGTACTAAATATGTAAATTACAATGTAATGTAAAGTTACATGCCACGTGGTTAGCCTAACCAGCTTTGAGGCAGTATTTTTATTATTATATTTTTATCTCGTCCCAGCCGCGATTATACTTTCTATTTAGAATAGATAAAAAAGAAACAGAAAAACAATTTTATTTATTTGCAGTGATTAATCCATTTCTGTACATAATGAAATGACTATCATTATGTGGTATTTGTATCCTGTTTGTTTGGATGTTTCAGAAGTTATTTTGTATTTGTATTTGCTACACCTAGTCCTTTGTCTATGTCAGATGTGGTAGGAATGGCAATTTTTACAGCTGTTTACGCTCTGCCTACGCCGCAAGGGATATAGGCGTGATAAAAGTATGTAAGTGATATATGTATGCTCGTGTGGGACACTATGGGGATGGCAATATCTACGCTGTCATTTTTATATCATATCACAATTTTATTGAAATTAATGACAGCCGATGTGGCCCAGTGGTTAGTACATCGGGTTAGGATGACTGCCTGCCACGCAGAAGCTTCCGGGTTCAATTCCCGGTGGGGTCACTCACAAAGTTGACATTTATCTTTTGTGATTTATCAATTATCATTTTAGATGACAGATGTGAATTTGTTCCCAGTCTGGTTGGGACATTGCAGGCTGAACCACCTGATTGTCCGAAAAGCAAACCATCTTGCTTTTCGGATGGGCACGTTAAGCCGTCGGTCCCGGTTGCTGTCTATGATGGCGGTCGTTCGTTACACAACCATGTCTGTCAGAGGCCTGCTACTCGCAGTAGATTGTTGAAAAACTCTGACACCAGGATTCAACGGGTCATTGTACGACTCGGTGTCCCACACGAAGAGAGATATTGAAATTAATTAAAATAGCTACATCGGTGATTACTTTGCTCTCGCTTTGTAGATATAAGTAGGTAGGAAACCAATTAACTGAGAAAAAATGTTTGAAATTATTGCATCATACATAAATGAAATTCAATAGCAGGTGCATGACTGACTATGTAACCTATATAAATAATATGAATAACGCAGTTTCTAGATTATAGATAAGTAAAATAGACATATTTTATTGTTGAAATACACAAACACAGGCACACCTGAAGAAACAAGATCATCCGCTTGACAACATACAGTAAGTACGTACAGGCACAGAATATATAATAGCACTAGTACAGGTAGGTACGTACAGTCAAGATCAGCTCTGGCTTAGGGCTTAGTCACATTGGTCTTTATGCCACTTGGAATTAAAGAAATCGGGAGCCAGCTTGACTATTGAAAAGGTTATAGCGAATCTCACATTGCCTCGTCTTTTATGCGGCGAGGTTTCGCATATTATTTCTGTATGTCTGTGAATTATAAATTGCAGGTACATAATATGTATACCTATATTATTAGGAGTATAAAATTCAATTGTAAAGATTTTGATGGTGAACCAAGTCCATGAAACTGAACAATTTTCCTCAAGGAACATAGGTCGAAATGTAGGTACACCTACCTATGTATGCAATCTGCGGCAGTAATGTTTTAATGTAACAGAAAAAAAAAACTGCCCACAGGACCGTCGAATAAAATCCATCTTTTTAGTAAAAATTACTAAGTTGACATAACAATAAATAATAAAATAATATTTCTTAAGTGATACATATAATTGTAAACGTGAAATCTCTTATTAATTTCATAATAGATTTTGGAAAATTATAGAAAAGTCGGAACAGTTAGAAGTCTTAGTAAGAATTACAGGCTATGGACATCATTAGCACGATCGGTTCGTCTCCGCGCGGTTGCGGTTGGGTTGCGACGTGCCACTGCTCAGCGGGCGTGTGTGTTTAACGACATACCACAACATCTGGGCGAAGTGCGTATTATGTAACATTTTGAATTTGCATTGGAATAGAATGCGTTGAGGTAGATCACAGATAGTAAAACAATCTGTCTGGCTGTCGGGCCGTCTGTCTCTCAGGTGGCTTATTTACTATAGGAGCTCGAAGGGCACGATCTATGGGGCGCAAGGCTTTGTAACTGAAAAGGGTCCCAACACAAGTAGGTATGGTTTGGAATTCTCCGGGAGCCAGCTGCCGCCTTCTCTATTTTTAACGTAAAAAATGTCACATTTGCTACATTTCTAAATACGCCAATAGGGTATCACCGAAACGTGCGTGTCCTAGGGCGCCAAATCTCTAAATAAGGCACTGCTAGGTATCTCTCCACTTCTAGACATGCCTCGAGCTCCGTCTCAATAATTTCGTCAGTTTGCAGCTTGATATGTTTTTCATTCATACTTCATCCACATTCTCACAAAATAAACATTTTCGCTCTAGGTATCTATCATGATATCTTTTGCTAACTTTTCACATTCATATGTATACGCTTATAATTATAATAGTTAATAATGTATAGCTTCGCACTTGGTGTCGTATGTCTTTCCGGTGCAAAAATTGTCGCACGTCAACAATTAGTTAAACCCAATAATATATATTATTGGGTTTTTCCCCTTCTAAATTAAACTACGGCAATAAGACAGTCTACGTTGCTGGGACAAGATCAAAAAACGAAAACCACCACAAGCTGTCCCACAAGACTATGTGAAACTAAGAAAAACCAAAAAGTCGTCTCCTTCTCGAATTATGTTGGCTTTCCATATACCTGAAAGTGGTCGTTAATAACAAATTGCGCAGGTTATGTAGGAATTTCCAAGTAATTCAGAAACACCTACCTGGAGGTGGCAGGCGAGTCGTCCTCGCCAGAAGTCATGGAGCTAGGTGACGGTGCCCTCGCGTCGTCGCTGCTTGCAGGAGACCCTTCCACAGGCGATGTACGCGTCATTAAGTAATTCAGAAGAACCTACCTGGAGGTGGCAGGCGAGTCGTCCTCGCCAGAAGTCATGGAGCTAGGTGACGGTGCCCTCGCGTCGTCGCTGCTTGCAGGAGACCCCTCCGTAGGCCATGTACGCGTCATTAAGTAATTCAGAAGAACCTACCTAGAGGTGGCATGCGAGTCATCCTCGCCAGAAGTCATGGAGCTAGGTGACGGTGCTCTCGCGTCGTCGCTGCTTGCAGGGGACCCCTCCGTAGGCGATGATTCAGAAGAACCTACCTGGAGGTGGCAGGTGAGTCATCCTCGCCAGAAGTCAAGGAGCTAGGTGACGGTGCCCTCGCGTCGTCGCTGCTTGCAGGAGACCCCTCCGCAGGCGATGTAGGAGTCATCAAGTAATCACGCCTGCTACGGATCACGCTGCTTGCGTTGGCCCGGCTCTGCGTCTCCGCCATACTCGGCAATACCTAAGAATTGAAAGCAAACATCTGAAAACTGCAGAAGTCATTACCACACTAGGTCTAATAATATAAAGAGGAATGAATTTCTTTTTGTAGTACCTTAATCGATACACTCCGCAACTATGTACTATTTAAAAAAAATATTTCACTAGTTCTTTGTTAGAAGGCACCCCTATACTTTTTACTACGGCAGAATATGAGTGGTTTTCTGAAGTGAAAATTTTACGTGTCCTGGCTGAAAACGTGGTGATGCTTTGCAGTTACGACTGTGATTTTTTTTCTCAAGATAAAAGACATACGTATTTACATCTAGCCACATAAATAATGTTTGTAAAGTTATTAGTATTTAACAGAATAATCAATAAGTACCTCATTCTCAATTTCGGTGGCCTGTCCCCAATCCCTTTTTTACAACATTTTCGTCTCTCAGATAAATTATGTCCAAATTACACAACAAAAGGTCTTCTGAATATGTTATGTATTAGTTTCTCTACGAATTAATAAAGAAATATGATTTTTTAGACGCAAAGTAAATGAGCTGTATTAAATCTAGTTTTATCCCAGCAAAAATACCAATTTCTGTGGCCAACTTGTTTCACCGTTTTTTTTTTCACACCGTAGATATTATACAGATTATAAAACCCTTCCTCGTAACTATGAAATATGCTGTTTCTGGCAGTGTAAATTGTTTTTCTTTATATTGCTACATTTTTCCGTCTAAAATAAATATATATGATTTCCGCGCACTCGGAACAAAAAAGTGCAATTTCGGTGGTAACGATTTAAATCTATTCACATGAATGAAAAATTCTAATTTTATACATGCAAATAAGCCTCTGGTTTACTATTAAAGAACAAGAAAAAATCTGAAATAACCTTTATAATAAACTTTATTTTTCTTAAAAACCTTGTGTTTCCAATTTCGCTGGCCTAATTTCGGTGCTTTTCGGTGGCTTTTGTTGGTGCTACTTGGGCACCGAAATTGCATCTATCATTTAAATTTGGATTTAAATGGATTTTTAAGGAATAATAGCCATTTTGGCTTCAAGTCGGTCAGCAAACTCCAGCCACGCTTTCCTACTGACAGGGGGGTTTCACTCCGCGGTTTAGGTATTACCCGCCCGGGTGCCCCTTGAAGGGGCTAATCTCGGTCGGTTGTCGCGCGCGAGACTCACCGCATGTGTGTACGTATTCGGATTATTTCTTCGGAAGTCTTATTTTGTGTTTCGAAAATGGATTAAAAACTAAAAAAAGGTTAGCCATGGACCTCGCAAATACTGCAGTGTAGATATATGTAAGAACAATATAAAAAAGAACCCGGAAATAAGTTTTTTCGTTATTCCGAAGGAGATGGAAAGGTAAGTTCCTTCTAAAATTGTATTTTGATAATTTTCAAATACTTGTTGCTATTTCTAACATTGGTCAGAGTATAAGTACCTACAACAACTGGGACCAACAGCTTAACGTGCCTTCCAAAGTACGGAACCATTTTGCTTCAGGTCGTTCGAGTCCTAACCAGACTGTGAACAAATTCATATAGTAAATAGATAGGTAAGTCGGTAGGTAGGTATCAAGTTTGCGTAAGCTTCTATCATCTCATTCATAAGATAATTAGGTAGGTAGGTACTTACTACTGTATAATGTTACGCTAGCTTAATTTAAATTCGATTTAAAAAAAACTTGCAATACTTGTCTTGTAGTTACCTAGAATACCTATGCACTGAACAGATAAATTAAATACCTACTCGATTATTGTGACAACCCTTTGAGAGCGCGCGCGGCCGGGTCATTGTCCGGCGGCGTCCAGTGGAGATTGAGCCGTTCGCTCGCAGTAATAAGTTTCAATTTTGCTCGCGGGCGGTCGGCTAAGCCGAGAGTAGGTATCTTTTTATACCTAACCACGGCTTTTGTTAGGGAGTGAATTTTCTGTACCCTAGTACTATTATATATTCTGTGCTACTGATCAGCTAGATAGGAATACTGCTGCCCCATGCTCGCCTTTGTAAAGGACTGCGGTTAAGTTTCTGCTCGCAGCACTATAAGCACACGCCGATGTCCAGGTCTGAGGCAGCCTCTGCTCCTAGCGCTGCAAATGCATGCCTGAAAACTGGCTAGTTCTTTTTTGACTGCGCTGCTAGCAAACGCCATCCACGCTCCACAACACACGCTGGCAGATTTGATCCTTGCTTTTAATTCAGCAAGCAAACGCCGCACAGGTCCACCTGACTACCGGATGGGTTTGTGACTGCGCATACTCGAAGCGCTGCAAAACAACTA